GCACCATGATGTTAGAAAAAAAGAGCTTATCAAAAGTAGATCCGTCATGACTATATTTCAACTATATTTTAACGCCATTACTGCACGTAAGACACAACGTTACTGCACAGTGGTCGTCGTGTTACTGCACCATCCTGGGACGAGAGCTGAGAAGAGGTGGGTGGTGGGGGGAGTTAGTAGGCGGGTTTGACCGGTGGGAGGGGCCTTTGACCAAGGTGGGAGGTGGGTTTTGGGCCTTGGTAAGGATGGGAAAGTGGATGTGACCCTTGGGAGGGAGGGGGGTATAGAATAGCTATTCTATACCCGGGTGTAGAATAGTTTTTCTATATATATATATATATATATATATATATATATATATATATATATATATATATATATATATATATATATATATATATATGAATTCAAATTCAAATTTCAATCGGATATATAAACTTTGGGTCTCTAGACTTTAGGTATATAAACTTTAGAAGTGTAAACTTGAGGTGTACAAACTTTATGTGCAGAAATTTGTTAAAATAGGAAAGTAATGCGCTGCCAAAATAGGAAAACGTGGAGGAGGGGGTGATCGCGCCTCGCGAGCGATCGCGCATTAGGAATTTCGTAGTTACACTACATGGACTGCTAATTCCGCCACAAAAACCAAATTCATTCTAAGGGCTTTTCAAACTAATCAAGATACTTATTTTACCTCGATTTTCGTTAACATGCTTTTTAAAATACTAAATGGTGTATTACGTGTGAAAACTTTCTATATGGGAATTTATTTCAAATATTAGATATTTTTTAAAAGTTTAAAATAATTAAACTTAATAAATCATACGTTAATAACTTTCTTATTTTATTAGGTGATATCCCGCGCTTTGGTGTGAAATAAATGGATGAATATACGTTAAATATTATAGAAATGATGAATATTGAAATATTTTAAAAATGATGTGAGGAAGATGATTTGACACACACACATATATACATAGTAAAATTAGCTGGGGCTTCATGGTGCCCGGGCACCAAGATTCAAATTGAGTATATACTTAATTCAAATGAGTATGATTTTTTTTAAAATGTTTAGGTATGAACATTAACTTATTTACTAACGAGTTCAAACTTGTTTGAACTGAATTTGAACATCTTTTGGTTAGATTTTGATTCTAGATATATAGCATCCAAACATATAATTAGTTAGGTATGCAATAATGGATTGTGAAATAAAGTTGAATTTTTTTTTGAGAAACTTAGTACAAACGCAGGCGCTCACAACATGCGCACACTCACCCCTATGAACGCACACACGCACACCCTACCCCTATGAGCACCTCCGAAAGACTGAGCCGGCATGTCTTGTGATTGACAAAGTCACCACAGGCGCCTCGCTGTCGACGGGTACGTCGCCTACCACTGAAAGAATAATTAGCCGTAAATGCGAGCACCCGTGTCAAATCTAGAATTTGAACCCGGGTGGGCTGGTTCCACCACAAAGAACCTAACCAGTTGAGCTACGCTCACTTCGCGAAATAAAGTTGAATTTGAGTTATTTTTGTTACTAGGTATGTATGAATCAAATTCTTATGTCTAGGTATATACTCACAATTTGAAAATTTTTTAGTGTATTTGTGTATTTCATACCTTGTTGCCCGGACACCATGGTGCCTCATATGGAAGTCTACAATATTATATTTTAGATGATCTTGTTGTTTCAGATGATCTAAATAATAATTGCTAATGGATAATGATACAACATACTTGTACATTGAGTTTTAAATTTTAATAATTGCTAGAATTACCTAGTAGAAAGTATAAATTTGGCTCTGTTCGCTGCTTGTTGTTCCCAACCGGAACAGTGCGCATAGAAAATGGAGTAGTCTACTAGCATGTGATTAATTAAGTATTAGCTATTTTTTTTCAAAAATGGATCAATATGATTTTTTAAGCAACTTTCGCATAGAAACTTTTTTTAAAAAATACACCGTTTAGCAGTTTGGGAAGCGTGCGCATAAAAAACTGCGAAGGGAGTTGGGAAGGAGCACTTACGAACACATCCTTTGTCTGTACTTTAATATTCGTTCAGCCGGAACGGAGCGTGGCCGTGGACTCTCCCGGTTGGCTTCCTAGAGAAGCCATCGACTTTGGTCCTGTTTGTCTCAGTTTAAGATTATTGTAATCTAGGTTATTGAGTCATATTACTATAAGCTGGATTATAATAAGCCGATATAGAATAAGTTGTTAGTTGTTTGTTTGGAAGCAACTATATGTCGGTCGCCCGATCGGAGAGATAAATATCGGGCGCCGTCTATGCCGTCCGATCAACTCTACAGACACAATCGAAGAGACTCTGCATGTTGATTGATTCCAGCGACTTTGATGCATGCAGCTAGGCTGGTACTCCCTCCCTCCCAAAATAAACTCAACGTTACCCCTCCTAAGACTATGAATCTGAACTACCCTTTGTCCAGATTCGTTGTCCTAGGAGGGGTGTGAGTTTTTTTGGGACGGAGGGAGTGCGGTGGTAGGTTTGTACACTACCCAAGACATATATTAACAAAATGTTTCAAACTTCAAAAATGTTTTTTTCTCACAAAATAATCATCTGATTTACGATCTGATTGTACCATTAAATCCGTTGCAATTAAATCTTTAAAACAAGACCACACATGGATATAATCCAATGAAAAAAATATTTAGCTTATTATTGAATTATTTTTAAATGTTGCACGTTGTTCTACAAAGTAGATCGGAATTATTTCACTAAGTAGATCAAAAATGTTTTAATTGTTTAAAAAGCTGAAACACAATTAAATCACCTCATGAAAAATTTTTGCTACAAAGTATGAAACAACGGTTTCTCAAAAAATCGTGCATTGTTTCACCTTATATAAAAACAATGTTTCAGCAAATAGCGGAATAATGTTTCAATTCAATGCAACATTTGATCCATACATAGTGAAACCTTATAAGTACACTAGGTGAAACATTTTTGGTGGAACAAAAAATAAAATGATTCCCTTAACAGAGGGTTTCTGTAATATGTGAGTGATTTGTTGCAAAATAATGTTTTAATTTACTGTAACATTTAATCCATACATAGTGAAACATCACGAGTGCACTTGCTGAAACATTGTTGGAGGAAAAAAATAAAACGAATTCCCTTATTAGAGGGTTCTGTAATATGTGGGTGATTTGTTGCAGCCGCAGTAAGTTGCATGAGAGAAAAAGGGAGAGTTACATGCCATTCTTACATGTATGCAGTGAGTTGACAGGTTGAGGAGAGAAAAAGGTGTGCACATACATGGTGTGGCTGAGAGAGCGCCCGATTTATTTCAACTTGGCCAGGTGCCCGAACGGAAGGATTTTCCTGTTTGTTTATCTGGATTATTAGCTGTTAGCCACCCAATAATCTACCAAAAAAGCACCTTTAGAGTGGATTACCATATTATAGTAATCCAGTTTATAGATTGTAATAATATATCATAATAAACTATCTGTTTGTTTCAGCTTACTCCTAATAATCTAGATTATAATAGGAGTAAATTGCACCCACGGTGCATCAACTTGGCAGGTGGGTGCAATTTGGTGCAATAACTTGAGATATAAGCGTTTTAGTGCAACAACTTAGCATGTAGATGCAATTTAGTATAAGAACTTTATAAACGATCATATAAATACAACAACTTACAAGGTAGGTACGATTTTGATATAATTTAAGAAGTTATGCGACAACAAACTTAATTATTTGGAGCATTTTTTATATAAATTCAATTTTAAGTACTTATTTGACAATATACTATTGTGGATTTGTATAAGCATATTTATATTTTATTCTAATAACTAATAATCGAAAGTCAATTAAATTGGATGTAGAAATTATTATATTTCGGTTGATATTTGAGAAGGTGAAGAAAAAAAATCTTAAAGGTAATTAGATGTAAATTGTATGTGTAGTATAATTTTTAAAGATTAAATTCAATATAGTAAGGTAATATCCGTAGGATTACTATGTAATGGCATATTGACATCGTGAAAAAAAAAAACTCACACAACATATACTTAGCCAAGTTGATGCACCAAAATACTAAATTGTCAAGTTGTTGTACTAGAACGCACTCATCCTATAATACTATACAAGTGATCCGTAGTTATTAGGATTTTGCTGAGTTCTGGTGAGGCCACGTCACCCTTTTACTCCCAACCGTTCGATCAGATGGTTCCAACGGTTCGATGCGTTCTATCCCACAGCTCTTGCCTCCCTCCTCCACCGAGCCACCGAATCCTCCTCCTCCGCCGCCGGGCGCGGTCCTCTCCCCTAGGGGTGGGCATTCGGTTTAACCGAAAATTTCGGTCTCGGTCTTCGGTCTTTCGGTCTTTTCGGTCTTTAAAAAGTGAAGACCGAATTTCAGTGAGAAAATGTCAAGACCGACAAATTCGGTCTCGGTCCTGACCGAAATTCAACAACATTTTCATATATGCAAAGAAATAATGGAAATTTTCAACACAAAAATCACAAAAAAAATTCGTAAGCACTTATGAGTAAAGACTCTTATTATGTTGCATGCCTAGAAGTAGGGATGTGAAAATTAGAGTGTAATCCTATTAAACATAGTGGATTGTAGGTTGTATTTAGACATTTTTTGATAATTCGGTCTTTTCGGTCTATTCGGTTACCCGAGAAGACTAACCGAATTGACCTAACAAAATTCGGTCTTTCACTACCTAGGACCGAATTGATGACCGAATTTCTCGGTCTAGGTCTTTTTTTTCCCACCCCTACTCTCCCCCATCGCGCGCGCGACTTCTCCCTCCCCACCAGCCCCCGCGCGCGCCAGGCGCGGGCCCGCCGCCGGTCGCTCTCCCCGCGCGGTTCCTCCCCAATCGTGCGCTACTTCGTCTCGCTTCTTCTCGCATCCCCGCGCCGCTCTCGCTTCCCCCATCCCAGCCGTGCCGCTCTCATCCACCCCCACCCCCCCTCCCCCTCCGGGCGCTTCTCCTCCCTACGCCGTTCCGCCTTTCCTTTGTCTCTCCGCTTACTCTTGTGTGAACCGTCGGCCACCACCTCCTCCTCCGCCGCCTCTTCTTCTGGGAATCGTCGGCCACTAGATGGGAATAAAATTCGACTCGACAAAAACACCCAACTATAAAGTGCAGCCAGGTGAGCCGTCCACATCCACACGCCGATGCAGGAACCGATGGAATTAATCTGCATCATTTGCTTCGCTCGATCGGTAGCTCATTTTCATTCATCAGTTCTAGATCTCCTAATCCTTGAATCGTTGCTTGTGATCTCTGTCTCTAATACTTCGGTCAATCAGTTCTATCTTTTATGAAGCATTCTTTAATTTCGTCTGATTACTTGAAGTTTCTTTCACATTGTTAGAATGTTATCTTATCACTGCTTGCAGAAATTAACTTTGCACCAGGTAACTGAATTAGTTTGATCTGCTTTGTAGGGATTAATTGATCTGACCATCACCCCCTGTTTTATTCTCTTATCCTGCACGGTTCATTGGATGGCATTTTTATGACTCCAAATGAGTAATCAGGGTTTGTGTTAATTTGGTTGATCCGGCAATTGATGCAAATCTGAAAATGTACTGATGCTAGGTTGATCCGTTCCTGTTATCCCTGAGATTATGAAAGCATTAAAAAATAGAGAGATCGATTCGGTTTTGGCTATTCTTCAGGTTTCTACTATCCCTATTCAAATGGATTCAAACTTTATTCAGCCTGTACACTTTGTTAGAGGATCTATTTCATTCATGGACTCATGGTATTACATCAGGACTCTAAAGATCACAGGTGGGTATACCAATTTTACATCATTGCTGCACCTATAATTTGGTTAATTTCTGAAATCTGATTGCAGAATATTGCTATAAGTACATTGCCTGCTAACGCTGTAGTAGTAGCTCTGGGCTATTGCTGAGCAGCTGAGGTCAATCCCCTGATGTTCCAATCTAAAGCAGCGACTGCAGCATGTACGTATTTCTACTGATATGATTCCTCTATCAAGAAAATATATCGATATATTAAGTAATGAATAATTGCATCATATTCGTTGTCACCATATTATATGCCCATTCTACGATACCTGCTTTGCAAGAGGTACTAAGTATTATTTTTTTCCTTAACAACACTACTATGTATAAGATTTTCACATTAGAATATCAGACTGAAAGGTCAGATTGATTATTTCAGCAATGAACTTAATTTAGGTACATATTAGTTCCTGGATCTGTCCATGCTCATCCTTCTTTGTTATATGATGTTCCTAATTATATTTGGGTTTGTCAGGTACAATTCTATGGTTGGTTCAACTTAATTCTTTGGATTTCTGTTCTTCCTGACTGGAGTATAAAGGATGTTCTTTGTAATAGCTCAATCAAACATTCGGAGATTCATCAGGTTAGTGCAAGTATTTATTTTGTTTTATTGATCTTTCAGTTCAAAGTAGTACAAGTTATTTTGTTTCTATAAACACGATCTTTCAGCTCTAATGCATGATTAGTGTTCTCAAGAAAGAGAGAAAATTAAGATTGAGAGTTTTCTGATATTTTATTCAAATATGGTAATTACATACACTTTTCTTACAACACAAACAATTTTTTTTCTCTGAATATACATCATGGTAAAGGGATTGCACAATATTGATCCAATAAGTTAATAAGAATGGATAAAAATAATAAAGCATAAATTTAGCGAAAGTCACCAAGATCATTGTCATGCATGCAAAGCTTTTACCTTTTTATATTTCTCTTGATATTATTTCTACCATATGAACAAACATGAAAATTTTGAAGATTAAATTTGATTTATTTTTCATCCTTCACTTAGCTACATGTAATCATTTAGATTAAACAATCACTTTTCCCACACAAATTAAGCTACTGACTCTGCTAAAATTTCTACAACCATTATATCACCTTCTTAGTTTTACTTTGTTGGCTACCATTCACTCGGAACTGTTACTCTAGCTAGATACATATCTATTCTTTTATTGTTTCCAAATTTTCATTAGTGTCTCAACTGTAAGTTCGAAAACATAATAATTAACTACCCCGATTGCAGCGTTTAATGCTAATGCAATCAGCAATCAACAACGAATCAAACATATTATTACTATAATATCCATAATTTTATTCGCACCATTATTGATCGACTTATCTAAAGTATCACACACACCGTTTTGTTTCTCCTTGCAAGATCGACTTTCCTTTTTCAATTCTCCTAATTGTCATCAACGCTATTCTCATTGCGACATATGGATCTTGAACAAGAATAACCAACCAACAGGTCACCACTAATTAATTAACAAATTTTATTACATTCATTTCTCTATTCCTCACGCCTCAGCATTTTCTGTTGTCGTGCTAACTAGGAGTGGGGTTATCAAATCTTCTGTACTTCATCACATATACTGATCTTTTTCTTCAGAAATCCACCCAAACATTCACAAATGTTTTTTTATCCTTTGTCCACAATCAAATGGCAATAGATACCTGGATACACTTGCCGAAATGTATTCTTCTACGAGCCAAAAGATTCAACTGAAGCTACCTCACACATGCATGCAGGTCTCACATACAAGTCGTTTCAAGAGAAGAGGTCGTCAGTAACAATAATCAAAATTAGTTGCTCTTGCATTTTATTACTGTTGAGAAATTTGTGTCTCAATCTTCACATCCTGTTGCTGCTTCAGTTTAAAGATTGTATCACAAGAATATTGGCTTTTGTTTGCTGAAATAGAATAAAATCACCAATTCCCGCAGTTATCCATTATATTTATCTTTCACCTCCATTTCTCTACTACAAAATCCCGCAGCAACGCGCGGGGTATCGTCTAGTTTATTAAGTTGTTGCACCCGGACGTTCAATTCTCTGGTTATTGCGCTATATTACACCCACCAGCTTTAAGTTGTTAGAACTTGGGTGCAATCTTAACCTGAATCAATGAGGGCCACCTTTCTCTCTCTCCCCCTTTTGTTCCCATCAGGCTACCAGCCCTACCAGTCATGACAGTCATGTCATCATTGTGTACCAACAGGATTACATATTTGTCGGTGCATCTATGGCATATGTGACATGTTATTGACGTGTCATCACTGACTATTAGTAATTAGTTAACTGCTAACCTCATCTCGATTTAATCTCTGTTACTTGCATGTTAATGTTCTTTTAGATGTGGCATCTTGTATAATTTAGTTCATTCTCTGACTCATGTCAATTCTGGACAGATATCTGTATAGCGACCAGGGTGCTATTTCTGGCTATTACACCCAAGGCACATCGGCAATGACTTAGCTTCTGACATCTCGTTGACTAAGACAATCAAAGTTTTGTATAAATGACGCCACTAGAATGTGCAACTTAAAGCTGGACTAAAACATATCGGTTTATGCAATGAAATCAAGTAAACAATTCAGCCGTATGTTTTCACAAAACTATAGAGTTGTGTGGATATTAGCAATAGCAATTTGTGGTTTCATCTAGGAAATCAGGTCAGTATAGTAAACGGTCTGTGGAAAGTTAATTTGTACTACCTCCATATTTTAATATATGACGCCGTTGATTTTTTGTCCAACGTTTGACCATTCGTCTTATTCAAAAAAATTTATATAATTATAATTTATTTTATTATGACTTGATTTGTCATCAAATATTCTTTAAGCATGACATAAATATTTTCATATTTGCACAAAAAATTTTGAATCAAACGAATGGTCAAACGATGGTCGAAAAGTCAACGGCGTCATACATTAAAATACGGAGGGAGTAATAGTTATAGTTTGGTTTACAAATGATTGAATTTAAACAACATATGTAATGGTACTGCAATATCGCTCATGGTTCCCACTCTTCTGATAGCGTGCTTTGTGCTACTCTGCACTGTGTCCTGCTTATAGGCAGAAAACACGGGGAAACATTTCACTTTAGCCATATTGCTATCGTCCATTACAAATGATGTCTCAGAAATCTTTGTTTCTTTTCTTGCTACAGACAACAAGGGAGTTTTAGACAGAAAATACAAGGTGCAGAACTAAGCAACTAATAATCAGATTGATTAAGGCATATAGCGTACAGATTGATTGTGCAATAGACGTATGGCGACAGAGGGCCAATAGCAGCGATAGGGCCACTGAAAAAAGATTGGTCAATAAAACAACAGGTCCCACTAGCTGCCAACAATCAAAATATTACTCTCCGTACCAAAATATAAACATTTTTAGCTAGTAACAAGTTTAACATTTTTAATTTTGACCATTAATAATAAAAAATAAAAAAGGTTAATCATGTAAAATTGATGTTACTAGATTTATTATTAAACAAACTATCGTAATATGTTACTCTTTTTATTATAAATATTGTTGGTTAAAGTAGCATCTCGGATAAAAAATACTTATATTTTGAGACAGGGAGTATGGTCTAAGGAATTGTTTGGTGGAGCTCTAACACCTAAATTTAACTCCAAGAGCTGGATTTAGAGTGGAGTTGTGGAGCAACCAAAACCCCTCTAGCTTAATTTTGTGAGAGCGCTTTACCCAGCTCCACTCCTATGGTCCTATTTTAGGTGAATTGATTCTGTCTGGTTAGGAGAGGTAGGGCTAGAGCTGGAACCGTGTCAAATAAACCCTAAAAATAGAAGAACTGTATCTTGGAAATGCTCGGCTGGCTAAAAAAGATTAGGTTGAAATTCAGTATATTTTTGAGCCAAAAATATTTATTGGCAATTGCAAAATTACCGCTACTTTGAATCATTATTGCAAGACTGCTACTAAAAAATTATAAAAATACCACTCGAACTGTCATTCCAGTGGTATCCTTACAAAATTGAAAAAACCGTTGGCAAATTTGCAAATGTCCCCAATTCCGAATCTGCTTTGTCTACGAATAAGGAAGCTAAATGGGTTGGTTTGATAAGACCCTTTTTTGCTTTGTTGATAAATAATAAAAAAAGAGTTTTTTTTCTATAACATGCTTGTTTTATTATAACAAGTTCTATATGAAAATGCCTGCTAAAGAGAAAATCTATCTGATTGTCTTTTAGCCAATATCCAATTTTAGAATTAGAAAGAAAATGTAAGAAGTCTCCCCACTTCAATTAGTCCCCGTGTTCTTCGAATGGATCTCTTAATTGTTGAGAGGGTTGCCCAAATGCGGTATATAAGGCATACCCAGTAAAGCTTATGAGTAAACCAGATATGGAGATGGCGACTAAAGTTGTTGTTTCCATTTTTATAGAATTTCTAGATTACAATGGATCTAAAAAAGACTGTGTATTTACAACTACAACAGTACCCATGTCCAGGTCCATATTGAACATCCAATACCATTTCAAGTATTGGAACCACTTCTGCATCTGATTCCTATATAGCGAGTGTTCCGTAAAACACCGCGTGTTGAAATTGTTTCATCGCCTGAGGCGATCAAATCCTCAGTTAATGGGAGCAAGCGATGTGGCCTCACCTTACGCCCTATTAGATTGAAGCTTCTATTTACTTGGGTTCTTAAATAGATGAAAGACGTCAGGCATATACTACCCTTGCTATTTTTTCCAATTGAATGAGAGTCATTCAATAGGTGGTGTTTGAATCACAGCTGGTGATGTTTGAATCTCATGAAGATGAAGATAAAGATGAAAATTAAGTCTTTCACGCAAAACGAGGTAGTAATAACGTGTGATTAATTAAGTTTTAATTATTACAAACTTGAAAAATAGAGTAATATGATATTTTAGAACAATTTTTATATAGAAAATTTTCACACGAAACACACCATTTAGCAATTTGAAAAGCGTGCCACGAAAATCCAAAAGTTTATCCACTCCTTCTGGTGGATTCGAACAGGTTGCTATTTACTGATACGTACTACATGCGGTTGGACAGGAGAGGATAGCATGGCGTGCGTACGTACACGTACATATTGGAAGGGGTGGGACGTGGGCCTTTCAATTTTTAATCTTTTTGTTAAGATAAATTCAATGGTAAAAGATAATGAGTCAAAAATCGATGATTTCTTTCTTTAAGAATTATTAGGATTTTCTCTAGTTTATTAAAACACTACGTGATAACTTAGGACATGTATATAGGTAGAGTCAGTCGGGAGCTCTATGCCACCTAAAAACTTATCTTACAACAATTAAGGCAATATGGTCTCTAACCATTAATGTGCCAAAATATTTTTTTTCTTTCTCCCTTCCTTTCTTTCAACCTCATGCAACAAATATATTTTCTAATAAACGCTAAGAGTCATGCATAACAACCATGTTTCTTTTTCCTCTCCTCTCTTTTTTTCACGTCACCAAATTTACTTGTACGGTAATAAAGAGCCCACCTCCCATCTCTTTCTTTTACGTCACCAAATTTATTTGTATGGTAATAAAGAGCCCACTTGTACATGTCCTAGAAGCATTTATAGAAGATTATATGGCAGCTTGAGAGGATTCGTAAAAAGTTTGATGGACTGAGTATTACAGATCAGAAGGGTGCGACGTGAACCTTTTAAATTTTTTAATCTCTTTTTGTAAAAAATAAATCTGATGGTACAAAATAATGGGTTAAAATTGATGACAAGATATATTTCTTTCTTAAGAACTGTTAGGTTTTTCTCTACTTTATTAGATTATCGAGTGATGGCTTAGGAACGTTCATAAAACGTCACGTGATAACTTGAGTTGATTTTAACTTGTGTGTGTTGAAGAGGAGGTTCGGATGCAGCCTTATACAGTATGCTTGGTTTCTTTATCGCCACAAGAACAGAAGGTGAATTCAGAAAACGAGAAAATCAGTTGTAAGAAACTTGTGCTCACCCATAGTGCCGATATAATAAATCTAGACATATGTATATATTGCTATATTTTAGAATAGAGAGAGTATAAAATTACAGTCCAACTTATATCTCCAGTTCAGTAGCTGACGGCGAAAAATGGCGATGGTGCGCTGTACATGATAAAACATTCGTTGCAATGTGCTGCACTAGCACAGCGTCTTTCTGGTCATGTTAGTTCTACAGTAAGTGGCATCTGCTTCATCCAGGAGATCAGTAAAGATGATGGCACCAGATTAGGAGAACTTTGATTAGAAACATGATATCTGCCAATAGAAAAACACAGTATGCTAACCCCATCAACAATAGTGGCACCCTCTCGGCACAGATTCCCCTGACCCGTCCCTACACAAAGATCTGCAAAGTATTCATTTATCAGTGACTGACAAAATGGAAAGCACTCATCAGCAAATTAATTAATATTTTTAGATAAACAAATTAATTAATGTCACCAGTAAATAATTCGGACTTCAAAAATTCTGTCAAAAAAAATCAGAACAAAAATAAGCCACAGTAAAAAGGGTGGCCATGTACGTCACATCTAATCCACAGAGTCATAGACTACCACAAAAAACACAACAAATGAACGCTTTTCAGATAACTATAGATGATCGATCACATTGTTTTATGATATTCTGTTTTCCAACCCGTGCCAATGAAACAACAGTCCTGTGATCCCAAATAACAATTTTAGGGAAATAGTTTTGAGTAAAATTCATATATTAGAAATGAGGACCATAAACTCATTCTCACGATATTTGAGATTTGTATTTGGATTATATAGGTCATCATGTCAAGAAATTTGCATAAATAGGACAGCTGAAAATCATTTTTTATACAAAAAACAACATGGTAAACGCTATTATTACACCAGGTCATGTTTGTTTTCTATTTATTCTAGTTTGATTGTTAGTAAATATAAGACCTACATTTTGCTGGACATGTTTTCTATGTTGATCAAGGAAATGCTACAGTCACCTCAAAATTGTGTTGATTTCTTGAGGCTCGTAGTTTCAATGTTTCATCCATAAACATGACAGTAAATACAAAAATAATAAACGCAATATATTAAAAAGTTTTGTAGTGACTAAGACATACCTTTTTTAAGGGTTCCCTGACGATGTCATAGTACTCATGTTTATAATATCGTGTATCCCTCCAAAACTGTAAAAGTATACATATATAATTAAGTAATGACACAGCCCCACGAAAAGAAGTCTGTACCTGTACAAAATAAAATCTGTGGAAAAATAATAATTTATGTACCTGTGGAAGATATGCAATCAATTTAGTGGAAGTTCCAGTAACAACCTAAAAAAAGTTAACATAAAGCTCTTCAGTTAATTGCAAGGTGTAATCTACATTGCTTATGATGCAACACCTGGAATAAAACTAATGTGAACAAGATTTAATGTTCAACCTTTTCAAAGGTTTGCCAAGTGTTATCCTTCTCTTGTAAGATTGCCCAATAATCCTGACATCAAAATCAATTTGAAACTAGCATTATTAATTATTAATTGAAACAAAAGAGATTAATGTTCACGAAGAAAGACTTACAATAATTCCTTGAATAGTGTAACGCCTGGGAAGGGAATGTCCTGTGAAAACTTCATTTTTGAATTTTTCTACAAGCTTTGAGAAACACTCATTGTCCTACATAACCAATCAATAAAATTAATACTGTGTAAGCCTTGAACATAAAAAACTTATTCATTTACTAAACAAACATACCCAATTGACAGAGTTACTGTCGATGTCAAAAAAACCTTCAGCATTGAGCTCACTCATCAAACTCATCAGACGATCTTTAAGCTGGGTTTGTTCATATCAATTCAGAACTTAGTCAACCCAACAAAAAAGGCAATGTAAAACGTGCATTTCTAATTAATACTTATCAAATGTTTACTAGCTTAACGAATATAATACATCCCTGTATTTTGGCTGGTATTTATAAAATGGCAAATAAATAAATATTTGTCAGTTTTCTTGTTTACTGATCCAGCTTGTTAGATTAGGAAATTCACATGCACCCTTTTTCATTAACATGCTTTGTGCTATCAACATTTAAATTAAGACCTATTATCTAGTTGCTGATGTCAAGCGTTCAGAGATCAAACAATCACAATGCAGTTGTGCATCATATACAAGATTTAAACAAGTCCCTAGGAGTCTAAACAATATATATGAAGTTTCTATCAAGCAAATAAATCAGTCAGTGGTACTAAAGTTTTTACCAAGCCAATAAACAGTCAATACAATATACTTCCTAAAGTGCAAATAAGTTTTCAGGAAAGGAAAATAAGACGTGATATAATCATAGCTTTCAGGATCTGAGCATTCAAAAGAACAGGAAAAAGTGAGGATTTCACATATTCTAGGGAAAAAGGTTTCCAAGATGCGAAAAAGTTGCCCAACATTAAGTAATCTTGCATTCAATATGACCAGATTTTTTTCCTTTTTTGACAAACCCAGTGTCACGAAGATATTTGGCCACTTAATAGACAACGGAGTGATCTGTGATCTGAATATCCAATGATGTGTTAGAGAAAGCAAAATAACTATGACATCTAAATGGTTCACAGTTTCTAAGTTGAGCAGATTTTGCTCTGCGCATGAAAGGGGAAAGCGGGGGATGCCTGTTTTCCAAATTTCAATTCAGCAAAGCAGACGAAGCTTAATATGTCCCAAATAAAACGGTATACAGCACTTCGCATTTTTTATATGCTGATATCTTGTAAAGAAGATGTACATCCTAAGAACTCCATTTTCAAAATATGCACTCTTGGAGCATTTTGACTCAAACAAAACAGATGTAAAAGGTTTTTGCTTTATAACTTGGAATGGCTGAAGATTTCCTCCGAAAACGGACTGAGTTGGAATTGCATTAATAAATTCTTTTTTTCTACGGGATTGTTTATAACCTTTCTTTAGTATGGTTCTGCTTACTGGCTTACTGTTACCAATTAAAAAAAAAAACTACAAAGTGGCACCTACAAGAGATGACATATGGAAACCAATTAACCAGATCACTCGAACACACCCCAAAACATCCTCAGTTCTGAATTTGCAAAATTAGTTTTATCAGAAGATGGAAACTAAATGTTATTGTAGTTCAGGGTGACAACTAAACACAAGAATTAAGTTGAAGGAACAAAATTGGAATTCTCGTAAAGTATTATTGCAGTAGTGTTTTGCATTTCATACCGACTCATTTTCAAGGAGGTCTCTTAGACACTTCGAGTATGTGCATACTTGATTATGCATATCCACAATCTGAGCTCTTCGCTGCAAAACACAGATGTTTTTCAAGGAAAAAAAAATTCATCAAAACAGATCTTCTAGGAAATTCTGTAAAAATTGCTTAGCACCTTGAGAGATAAATGGATAAGATCATGGTCCAAAACTGAGAATTTCTGTGGCACTGCATTATTTTCAACATCTTCATCAGAAAAATCCTGCAGGCAATTTACAGCATAATTAACATGTATTTATGAAACTCTGAAGTAATTTATTATCAGCATTTATTAGAAAAATTGTTGTTTATACCTCTGAGACATGTGAGTAGATATGGCTATCCAGTTGACCAGAAGCTAGATAGTTGTCATAATCCTCGTGCAAATGGATTTGCATTGCAGCCCTAGCATACTGAAGAAATAGATATAGTATTCATACAAAAATGGAAGTGGCCAACTGGCCACAGAACAAGAAACACCAAAAAGTCGTTCCATCTAATAGACTATGGAAATACAAATGTCTTACTCAATATTTAATTATTAGTAATATATGTGTGATAATAACTACGGAAATATCATCAAAGCGCACACAATAAGCCATGCAACAGTGGAAGTTTGACGGTTACATGTTTGATGAGAGAGAGAAATGGACAATATTACAAGCCTTCCAACATGAAGTCTACTTTCACCAGGGGCAAAAGGTTTCATGAAGTTGATTAATAAAAAAAGACATTCGGTATCCCTACAGCTGTCAGCGTCAGGGATGTATTATTTACCAAACTTCTTTATTAGTTTGTAATGTTTTATTCCTTCTATCTTATAGTTAAAAATATGAGCAGCCCAAGTTATGCTATTCCTTCTATCTTATAGTTAAAAATATGAGCAGCCCAAGTTATGCATTATGTGTAGGACTATAGACAACTAAGCATAATAAGTGTAGCATCAAAGATGCATCCATTTCTAACCCAAGTTACTTCTTACAGTATCATTCTCACTTCCACTAAGAATAGTTAGCCATGTTGGTAGGTAAATAACACTTATACGTATGCCAAAGTTGATACAATTAATTGTGTGGAGGGCTCTAGGCAGTGCTAAGCCCCAAACTGACTGAATAATTACCAAAAAGTTCATCAAAATGCTGTTACTGACAAGAAAAAAGTGTTATAAACTCATCATGGTAGCATGAAGTATACTTGATAAAAAAGAACAGCATTACAACAAGCACCACCTGACTAGCATTTGTAGTACAAAATATGCGCGAGAAAAAAAGAACAGTATATGAACATGGTGAGTGGTATTTGTGACAGCAACTTTCACAACAATCTAGAAAAAAAACTACAGAAATTGGCACCCATTATATGATTTCCTAGTTATGCAGCTGCTACACATGCAGACCTGCTTGGACTTATGTTAGTTTAGTATACTTCAGTTACAGTTGGATCAGAACCAAATGTTCTAAGATGAAAAAAAAAAGACTTGCAAATCTGAAGTAGATACTAAGCCTTAAACGAATTTTCTAATCTATTTTTGTGAACAACAAAAAGTTATACTGTGTTGTCTTGTAAGCTGAGAAATTTTGTCAGTCCAGTGTTTGAGCCAGTGAAGCCAAAAAAAAAAAAAAAAAAAAAAAAGAGGAGTGCTCCCATGGACCACATTTGACAGACTTCAAATCTGCCAGGATGCAAACATGATAAGCACAAGAAAAAAGTAAGGCAAGCACATTCAGTCCATTGGCATCACAGATACTGTTTATTATCAGCTAAATGGTGTGGCATGGGTGGAAGAAAGGATAACAAATATGTGCACGTGTGGAGGCGAGGATCACATGTCATGGTGGGATTTGTTCCTATTTGTGACAAGGGGCTCTGACCGTTGCCAAATTGGTGGGTGAGTTCTTTTATTTCACGATTAACTTAATCAAAGAGAAGGTTTAACTTCATGACAGGCTAACCCATCTAACTTATTGAACCAATCAACTAACATAACTCTAATATACGCAAACCCATATCACTAAGAAAACGATCCCAAACAAACATAACTAATTCATGCACCCGGTGCAGGCCTCATGTGCCAGGTGGAGTGGCTGATGTTGCCATAGTAGACCTGTTGGAATAAGTATTCCTGTAAAGGAGTTCACCACATCAAATTGCAAAACATAATTTCATCATAAAATTGTTTAATTTATATTCTTAGACATTCATGGGCATAGTTGTTCATCCAGGCACAGTAGCTTTCAAAGGAGATAACCTTCATCAGAAAGAAATTGTGACAGTGGCATGATATGTCGCTTTTGGTTTTCATTCTGACTCGATTTTATTCCACCAAGAAATAGTATCTCCAAAGTTTAAAAGAATGGTTAGCATATGAAAAATGAACTAGGAAAAGTATATTTATTTGCTCGACTAAAACTAATTAAATATTACTCATGAGCAGAGAAATATAAAAAATCAATTAAATGGTTGACAAAGGAATAAAGGACATGAATACTTTATACAATACCATGGACATCTTCAGCTTAGTCTGAATGTAGAAACGTGCATAAGGCTTCAAATGTGGCGCAAAGTCTCCAGGGTCTGGTGTCAGTGGCTAGAGGAAAGTGAAAATCAGATTTCAATGAAGTTCCAAGAAGATTCCCATATGATATGTATATATGCATACCTGAAACTGCTTGTTTTCTTTTGCATTGGTTAATTGACCAACTATCTGCAAAAGCAAGTCCTTGTGTTCCTAAACAGTCAGATCATTATGCAGGCCATTAAAAACAATCATAAAATGGATGGATGAAGATATAGTACTCTAAAAGACCCATAAGTTACTTCTCGTATCAGAGGATGAAATCGAGGCTCCCAGAAATACAGCACATGACAAAGTAGGACCTGGCAGGAGAAGAAATATTCAGACTTGAGAGGAGAGGCAACAGCAATATCATATTTATTGCCTGTTTGGGATTCCAAACAAGAATGTTGCAAGTACTTCACAGAAAACATGGTGCCCACATTAATAAGCCTCTTATAAAAAAGTAAATAAATTAAGATGACAAACACTCACACCAACCGACTGATCCACTTCATAAGCATCAAAAGTGGATTGTATCTCCAAGTTTTCTTCAAGACGTTCAATTACACTATAAGAACGGTCAGAACCCTGTAAAGAAAACTAGATATAGATCATGCTGTTTTTGAACTCGTTGACAATAACAAAGGTGAGGAAAATACCTTGATATATGGTTTGAGAGTGATGAGTTTGCCAAGAAGATCGTACATTTTTTTGTAATGTCTGACTTGATTCATTGAACAAAATTTCCGCTTCATTAACAAAAATAACAATATCATTAGAATATGCATATATGACAAATACATAAGTTGGAAGTTGAAGTAGCAGCTTATATACCTTCTGCATACGTGAGATCTCCCTCAAATAAGGGTGCTCACTGCTGTAAATGGCATACTTGGATCGGAATTGAGGATTCAATTTCTGAAGGAGAGCATTCATGCCCGAACAATCACCCTATATATGTAGACAAATATAAATTGTACTTTCTTACGTCCAGAAACCAATCTTATAAACAAATCAAGAAACACTAATGAACACTGGAAACCCACTCCATTTTATACAAAAAAGAAATGGAAAATCACCCCATATTATCTTGGTTACTACGTTCATAAAAATTGTGACATTGAAACACTGTAGAGTGTACCCACGAAAACAGTATGGCCATACAGCAAGGCTGCAGTTTACAGCAAGCCACCAAGGCAGCTGAGCATAACTAAAAGGGTTCTAGGCAGCTGACAAGGTTCAAGTCGGCCCAGTTGATTCTGGTTGAAGCCAATCAAGTTTGCTTCCGTTCCAACTCATTGACTCAACCTCATTGTTTTTCATCCACCATCCCCAGCACTATATCTACCACCTTGCTATCAATTTCAGAAGCACCCCCAAACAAGTACAAATGTGGAAGGTACAACCACTAATTCCTCTAGCACTCATAAACTACTTGCGTTACTAAATAAAGGTCTTGTGCAACCAAGTTAGTTCAATCTGTTACAATACCTCTGCACTGTCGTCCATGGCATCAACTTCTTGCAACATGTTAAAATAAACTGGAAGATACCTTTGGAATTCATCTTCAAACTGGAATTCAAAACCAATACCAACCCAGATGACGGTTCAACATTGAGATGTCAAAGAATAAATTGAAGTTAAGAGAATCAACCTCCCAGTTCCACTCCCCATTAAACTCCATTGGAGCAGAACAGAATGCCTTTGCACGGAGATCTTCCTTTTGCTTTGCCAACCAACATGTAAAGTTATTTTCAACATAAGCATTGCCTTTCTCTCCCCCCATCAGGTCCTAGTACGATTAAGCATACAGTCAGAATAGTGATCAATTTAAAAAATAAAATTCAACTGATTGTCACTTGCCTGGCTTTGTGGGTACAAATTGCTGGAAATATAGATGTATATTTCTTCACAGAGAACAATAAGATCCTTATCAACAGTATCATTTGTACTGGAGTTGAACTTGAAAATTAGGTTTCTCATTGCACATGGTAGTTGATCATCTAAGCGCCGAATTATAGATGGAAGCAATTCATCTGCAACAAACAGCTTGCACCTCTCATTGTCGGTACTGCCTGCAAGTCGGACCATAGCAAGGCAAAAGGAAATAGCACTTGTAGTTGCTTCATCATCCACCCAATACCCAAACAAGCTCATCCTTGAACTCCCAAGACAATCATGGGTTAAAAGATAATGTAAAAGCCCATTGTTTGATTCTGGAGACGATAAAACTCCCAGCAAATGAGACACTTCACGGGTGAACTCAAGAAGTTGAGTATCTTCAAACTTCTCAATGTTTTCTGTTGGCCCAGAGAGTTTCCCGAAGTAATAAGGAACTTTAGCTCGGCCATGGTGCATAAGGCTGAACCACGCAAAGTAAAGTAAATCCTCACAGTGATCAAGTAAGGGTCGTAGTAGGTTCAACATCCACTTCTTCCAGAATTTGGAAGGACAATATGTTACCAAAGGAACGAAAACAAGATTGATAAGTTTGCTTAAATGCCTAAACTCCATTGACCCTAAATCTTCAAAGATAGCATCATTGAAAGATGAAATATCCAATAGATCAGAAAATGCCCCTTGAATAGATAAAGATAGACCAATGATGTTGTACCTGTGACATGGCATAGCATATCCAAATATAAGTTTGATAAGAAAACAACTCCACAGAGCCAATTTATAATAATATATGCATAAATAAGTTCGACTAAAATACATGTATTCTAAAATTACATCCTCATGTATCACATTAGATGTTCTCAAGAATGAGTAAGTCACAATATTACAAATAGTTGAAATACAGAATGAAAATAATCACATACTGCATGATGCAAGACAACATGGACAAATAAATAAGCCATCCATGTTAGACCATGCTTATGGGAAGCATCCCACAAAAGATGCATTATCACCTAAATCTCGAATTTGTAGGATACCAAGTTTCGTTTTAGTTCATTTTCTATTTTCTTTCAGGTTCAAGTTGTTAGTGCCAATCTCTATTTAAGAGATATTGTGATCCGCAGATCGCTTCTACTGTCCCATCAGGACCATGACACTTCAAGAATAGGAACATCTAGAATCATGTTTCAAATTCACAAGTACAAAACCAAATAGTACAAATCTGTCAAGTTCCAACTAATCATCATACATCAGAGCCATTGGTCTAATAGTGTAACATGGACCCCAAATACCATTCTCCTAGTACAATAGTTACTAGTTGAAGACAAGTATGTGGACATGAAAAATAATGCACAAATTATGACCAACTACAATCATTGAATCTAACAAAAAAATACAATAAATTACCAATAATTAAGTCAATAAAAGTAGAGGTTACATAGATGAAAAAGGCAATCAAAATAACATATATGAAATGCTATAAGCAACAAACTCACCCACTCAGTCGGATTTCCTCCAACAATTTTCTTGTCTTGTTTTGTTGGACATCTTCATCACTCATCTTGCTTTTAGCACTTTCAAGTTGATCAGGAAGACTGCCAGAGATTTGTCCTCTCCAAAGAGAATGTATGCATTGGAGCAACTGTAAATCAGACAATTAACACAGTTAGTATGATAGTTAAGAACGACTCAAAGGCACACAATATTAAACACCGTTTGGTCTATGCAATTAAGACATGAACTAGGGAATTGGAATTGGGCTTAGGTAAATATTGCAGTTAGGATGGAATAGGAACAGGAATAGATTTTGGAGCTCAATTCCAGTTGGATTTGAGGACAACAAAAACAACACCTCCACGATTCAAATCCCCACCCATTGGTTTGGGAGGATACCTCCTTATCCACCCTAACCAGCTAACCCTCTGATGCGACCTCACTGGAGCCATGACTGATCCAGCAATGCTGAACTTCACAGTTTTCATGGCTACTGAATCTGAACCATGCCCGCTTACTTAGTGATATAGTGTCCAAAGACCACTGACGCTGAGCTACACTATGCCGCCACCACCCTGGGTAAAATTTGATCATATACCCTCCGCTTAGACTGAAATTGAGGATTTACCCTCCTGACCCCCATGTAATTGACCATGGTTACCCCACGTCATTGGCATGGGAAGGTAAATCCTTAATTTCCAATCTGAAGTGAGGGTATATGATCCAATCTCCCCCACGATGGCCATTGCAAATACCATGGCCATCGGTGCCACCATGGCTGCAACTGATACCAAGTTCCATGGAAGCTGCCATAGGGAATTGGGAATTTGAGGCGTCGAACTCCATGGTAGTCAGGGGAAGTGATCTCCCTCTCCTAGGGTGGCATCAAGGTCGATGGTAGAATAGAGAAGAAGGCTCAGACTCTAGGTTAGGAGAAGAAAATTCCACTCGACGCAATTCTGGTCAAAAATATACACAAGCATGAAATGGAGTTCACCAAGGATTCTCTTTCCAAGTTGAAGATTTTATTGGCAGCCAAACACAAAAAATGGGATTATACAATTCCCTCTGGAATTGAATTGGAGGCCCAATTCTATCAACCAAACGAAGACTCGTGCGTATTCAACTCAACTATGTATTAATAATATTAGGTTAATTGAACATTTACCTGCAATAGAAAGGGAAGCATCAATCTTAAAAGAGAATGAAGATCGCAGAATTGCATCTCAATAGACTCCAATGTGCTTTGTCGGAGATCATTTTCGCAGAACTTCACAACTTTATAAACCATCTCCAAGAAATGATCAGAGAATAGACAGGTTAGGCCAAATGCAGAGTGCAGAAATGTACTTCTCCACTCTGATTGGACCCATATTTTGTTGAGGGGCTTAAGAAGATAGTGAAGTACCCCCTTATACTGTTCAGACCTGTAAAAGGAACTTAAAGGTAAGGAATCACTTTTTGTTATATAAAGTAAAGTCATTACCAATACTCCTAAATAAGTGACATATTTTCCTTACAAAAAATGATCGCTGACTTCTATAATATCATGTTAATGGAAAATATTAAGAATTGAACAATATCATTCTCATTTAGGCAACCTAATATATTATACGTGTATCAATAGCTGATTGCTAAATATGACCACACTTTTTTTAGAAAATCATGTATTTATGAATAGAGTAACAAAATATAGCAAAATATCAAATGATGTCATACCTTAAACAGGATGTTACAACATCAAATGCTTCACATAAAATATTATATTCTGCAAGAAGTAGACAGCCCTTAACTTGATGGCAAGGTACTGCACCATTGTTGCACTGCATCATCAATGAGAAGACTTTACAGAAAGAATATGCTTGACAGCACATTATTATAATGCATGTTAAAAAAGAAAAAAAATACCCGCATTCTTGGGTGAATTATATCATCGAATTTATTTGACATGTTAGTACTATCAGTGTCATCTTGATGGATCAAACTACTGCAATCAAAACTGCTCAATTCCTCACGCCTGAATTTTAGAAGATGCTGCAAATGGAGAAAAAAATACCACATATTAATGTCCACTATATATTTATGTTCATATAGTTCCTGCAATAGACATTTTACACATACAAAGCATTATTAATAAAAGAGAACATTCATATAGACCTGAAGCATCCTAGCACCATGACGCTGGACCTCAGGAGGGAAATCATTGCTGACCAACAGAAGAGATGCATCCACCAACAAGTCGACATAGCCTTTCTCTCTCTCTTTTACCTATCCGTAGGGATCAAACAAGATCAGTAGTTATATATATAGTTTGGTAGATAGAAGGAAACAACCAAAGAATGAGCAAAATTTTGAAGCGTGCAAATCCAATACACTAGTAGATTCTTAAAACTGTGCTAGAGAACCAGGAGATGCATAATCTAGTGCTGCATAACCACATTATTTTGCCCAGCGTTAAGCGCGAGAAGGCAAGAGAGATACGAACCGGCTCCGGCTCCAATTCAACAGGGTAGGAATTCCTGGCGCAAGTATTGACACTGCTACAAGCCCAAGCCGCGGCGGGACCAGCGGCGACCGAACAAGTGTTCATCTTCTCAGTTAGCTAGCTGAGAATTGGGGGAGAAAAAGGGAAAAACTAGGTTACTAGACCTAGTTGGCGGCGGCGCGGGGCGGAGACGGAAAGAGAGAGAGAGGCTCCACCTGCGGCGGCGGAAGGCCGGCGCGCGTCCAGGCGGCGGGGAGAGCGCCGGCGCGGGGGCCCGGTGCGTGGGGGATTCGGGGCGTGGGGTTAGGGGGAACGAACTAGTACAAGTCGACGGGGTTGGCTGTTGCGTGCGCACCTCTCTTTATAGTCTCCTCGCGTAGTTGCGTACATACGTTATACAAATACTCTACAATGGTTGTACGTAGATATACAAAGTATATGTGTGTATTTATATATATATTTTTTATGTATACCAAAATAAATTGACGTATACACAATATACATATATACAAAGTACTCCCTCAAATATGAAATTAGCATCATATGAAAGTATTTTAAAATATGAATATATATATATATATATATATATATATATATATATATATATATATATATATATATATATATTAAATTTGTTTGGTGTTCCATGGTGCCCGGGCACCATAATTGAAATTGAGTATATACCCAATTCGAATGAGTATGAAACTTTTTTAAATGTTTAGGTATTAACATTAACTACTGTAATATATATATATATATATACACACACATATAGAGAGAGAGAGATGGGAGGAGGAGCCTACGGCTCAGGCAACCGATCCGATTGGAACAAAATCGGGCATTGATGTCAGCACCCGATTTACGTGGAAAACTACTTTAAACTGATTTTTCTCCTAAATTACTTATCCAAATCATTATCCGATTGCACCATTAAATTCATTGCAATTAAATCTTCAAAACAAGACCACACATGGATATATTCCGATGAAAAAAAAGCTTATTATTGAATTATTTTTAAATGTTGCACGATGTTCCACCAGGTATATCGGAATTGTTTCACTAAGTAGATCGAAAATGTTTCATTTGTTTAAATCGGGTGTTGTTTCATCTTATATAAAAACAATGTTTCAGTAAATAGCGAAAGAAAGAATGTTTCAGTTCACTACAATATTAGATCTATACATAGTGAAACATTATGAGTACATTAGGTGAAACATTTTTCGGTAGAATGGAAAATAAACCAAATTCCCTTAATAGGGGTTTCCAAAATATGTGTTTTTTTTTACAATGGAATGTCTAGTTCACTGCAACATTAGATTTAGACATAGTGAAACATTATGAGTACACTAGGTGAAACATTTTTTGTGGAACAAGTAATAAACCAAATTCCCTTAATATAGAGTTTCCAAAATATGTGGGTTTTTCTTTTGCAAAACAATATTTTAATTCACTGCAACATTAAATTTATAAAAAGTGAAACATTCTAAATACACTAGGTGAAAACATCTTTTATAGAAAAAAAGGAGGGAGAAGTGATGGGCCCAGTAGGTAGCACGTGGGGGGAGGGGGGGAGGGGGAGCGCCCGATCCGGTTCCCCCGCGCCGATCGTCCGAGCGTAAGTATTATTGATATATATATATATATATGTGTGTGTGTATACTTAAAATAAATTGACGTATAAATAATATACAATACAAAGTTTGTACGTGGATATACAAAGTAATAAATACGTGTGTGTATATATAACATTTATGTATACCAAAATAAATCGACGTATAAACAATATACATGTATACAGAGTACGTACATATATAAAACTTTATAGTATTTATATATAAAGTTTGTGATATATGTATAAATCTATATCTATATCTATACTAATATAAAAAGGAGTTGTACCTCTCTCCAATCCTAGCGGCTAAATCACCCATACCGCATCTAATCCATCGGCTGCGCAATCCCCGCCACCCCATGCCCCGCACTAACACCGCCACCGTGCGCCCTCCTCCCCGGATGACGCCCCCTACTGCAGCGCATGCATGCTCCGCCCATCATTATTGCTGCATTGGTCATCATCATCCTCGCCACGCATATCATCCCCACCGGCAGTGGCCATCGTTCCCTCCCTCCGTCGTTGGCCTGCAGGTGCCATCCATATCCATACCGCAACAAAGCGAAATCAGTGAGGGGCTTCCAAGTCACCGCCACCGTCTTGACGCCAGGGGCCTCCGCTGCTGGCGCTGCAAGGCAGTGGAGTGCATGGCAATGGAGGGCTTCTTCTTCCTCCTCTTTTTTCCTTCTTCACCAAATCAGATCTGTGTCCAAAAAGGGAATCGCTCAGATCCAAAATCCCCTGATTGACGAGGGTCTCACGGTCTCTCACGATGTTGCTCATAAAGAGAGCGGCTCAGGAGGTTGGGGCTCAGGGTGGATCGACGACCCAGCGAGGGAGGACGGTGGCTAGCCCGATGGAGCAGCAAGGAAGGCCAGGTGATGGAGGTCTGTGGTAGAGCAGCTTCTCGGAGGGATTCGCTGGGCAGAGCAGCTTCTCGCAGGGAGCTCTGTGTCGATGCCTGTGCAGCTCCTGGAGTACAGGATCTCGCGTGCTGAAATTTTTACAATTTGGTCCTTTTTAAAAATTTATTTTACAAATAGACCCCTGGTAAAACTTAAACCGGAAATGGTCCTTTTTGGGACGCCAGAGTGGCTGGCGCCGTACCCCAACATGGCGGCGCCAGCCACACTGGCGCCGTGCCCGTGCCACCGTGGCAATAGGGCTGTCGTGGAGGTGCTGACTAGGCCGAAGGGGGCGCCAGTCAAAGTGGCGCCGCCCCTCATAGCACGGCGCCAGCATGGCTGGCGCGCCCCTCCTCTGCAGGCCCCACCAACTTTCTCCCCCCCCCAAATTTTCGCCAAGTCTGTTCTGCCTCCAGGCAACGGCTGGCGCCCCCCCCCCCCCGAACGCGGCGCCAGGGTGGCTGGCGCCCCCCTCCTCCACCCATCGAAGCCCTTCTGCCTCCAGGCCTCGGCTGGCGCCGCCCTCATGGACCACGGCGCCAGGGTAGCTGGCGCCGCCCTCCCCCAGCCCGAAACCCTTCTGCCTCGCGGCACTGGCTGGCGCCGCCCTTCTCAACCTCGGCGCTAGGGTGGTTGGCGCCGCTCTCTGCCTCCCTGCAAATTGTAGATCCATATTGCACAAATGTACCAATTCACAGTTCGCAATTCAAATCACAATTCACAGATTCGTACAGACTAAAACAGGTTCCAATTGCACAAATCACAATGCCAAAAGTCCATCACATAGTCCTCACATATTCCACACATTAAACAATGCCAAAAGTCCATCACATATCCCACACATCAAACAATGCAAAAAGTCCATCCTATATTCCACACATGAAATAATGTCAAAAGTCCATCACATAGTCCTCACATAGTCCATCACATTTTATATCACATAGTGCACCACATATGTCATACTACCAACCAATAAATTAACTTCATACAAATTACTTCTTCCGTTGGCGCCGAATTGCTTGCGAGCCCGGAGTGTACCTACATTTGAAAATCCAATGTTTAAAACATTTTAAAAACAAAATAAGGGAAATCAAATAACATTTGAGAATGGTAAGCTCATTTTACCTCTTTTTCGCTGCCCGAGTGGATCGCAAGTTGTATTGCGTGGGTTGCGTCCCCTGAGGCGCGTCGGGAAGCTGTGACATGTCTATCTCCTCGGCGTCTGGTGCGACGTAGTCCTCATCCTCCTCGTCCTCATCGTCATCGTCGTCGCTAGGTGGAGCCGGCGCCTTCCCCTTTCCCCTCCCTTGCTTAATGCGTGACGACGACGAGCCACCAACTCCTTCACGCTCTTCTATCCTGATGGAGTGTCGAGCAGTACTTGGACGCGCGGATTGAGGTAGTGGTGGTGGTAGTCTCCCCGGTTGGTACACGTCGTCCAATCCAACCGACCTGCAACCTAATCTTGCTGCAAGTTTCCGGCACCTTTGACGAACTTTCTGCATTTCAAAAAAAAAAGAAGTTTGTTAGGAATAACTCAAGTAATGCAAAGTGCTAAATAAATTTTACCTCTAAAACATTGCGGAGCGTGTTCTCCATGTCCTCACCACCCCTCGGAGCTTGGAGGGCATGCCCCATTTCATTCACACTCCTGAGGAGCTCTCTCGACTGAAAGCTTGAAAAGATATATGTTAGGGTCTAGGGTGCAAATGTAAGTAACTTTGATAAATGCAAGAAAACTTACGACTCTGTCTCTAAGTGGGGCGTGCTCCATTTGATATCCAACTCTAGTCCGGACATCATAGGAATTCCGCCCCTCATCGGAGTCGCGGTCATCCTCTATGTCGGCTTCCGTCCAAGTAGGGCGGAGGAACAGTCTATATGTCCTATGCAGCCAACGAAGGTACTCTGAGAAAAGATGATTTTGGTGTATAGTTTCGATGTACCTATCGTTCCTTCCGGCTGTTCTCCATTCATCAATGTATCTATTATGCTCTAGCCCCCAGTCTTTCACCTTCTTTGTTCTCACCCTGTCATACCTAGACAAGTAGAAGGTGATGAAATAGTAGTGAGCATCGACAAGGGTTAAATGGTACAAAATTGAACATTGACAATGAAAGCAAACAAAGATAAGAAATATTTACTTATGTAATTCAACTCCAGTTGAGATGTCCTCAACCGGCCAATCTTGTTTCTTCCCGAACTGTCGCATGACACGGTGCGGAAGGTGGTACTCAACTGCCCAGAAACAAATCAATGGGCACTGGTACATGAAATAGTCAGAGTCTCGATTGCACATCGAGTTCAGGGTCAGGCTTGAAGCCTCATTTGTGTGGTATGGTAACCACTCAATCTGCAAAAGTTGAAGAGATGTCGTTGGTTAGTATCTCAATTAAAGAAGTAAATGTCTAACTAGAAGTGATATTGGAAGTACTTACATGTTGAGGCTGCAAGCAGTCCATCTCATTGACATAATGCTTGTATGCCACATCCCGGTGAGCATGTGAAGTGGCAGTACTCTCAAAAAGGTAGGCCACTGTCTTCTCCATGTCTGGCTCATTGTATAACCTATTTGCTATGAACTTTGATGTCAGTTGCCGGTGGCTCCCTGAACCTTCGGCAGTAGCACAACTATGTTCCTTACCTACCCGTGATATCCTCCACGTGCCACTAGACCTCTTAGTTGCATGGACCTTCCATTTGCACCGTGGGTTTTCACATTTAACAGTGTACCTCCTATTTGCGGCAGAATTGACAACACGGTATGGACGA